AGTAGAATTCACTTTGATAACATATCAATAGAAAAGTCACGCTCCTCAAAGAGTTGGAATGTTCCTGGTGATAAATCTAAATGATTTACAAGATTCTAGGAATGTAAACAGACATTTTTGGCATTGTATATCTTTTATTCATAACTTTATATCCCAGTCCGACAATTGATTTACTTGTTATCAAGCTGCATGGGATACATGTGTAAACCTTTGTGAAACGCGATGGTTTTATACATAAGTACTAATGCAAAATAAAGAAAAACGAAATGCCCTTGTGAAAAGTAAAACAATTTTAGTTTGATACTTTACAAATACAAATGTATAATATAACTTTCTCTGCTATTTTAGAGGTTTTTAAAACCTCTAGAATGACACTAGTTACGTCTCGCATTGAAGGTTTCATAATAACCGCCATATGAACACATCTGCAGATGTTTAAAAATTCAAAATTTTACAGTTTCATGTTAACTTAAGCCGGTGCTATGGGGCGTGGACGTTTTCCTTCAATTACCACTACCATCCATAAACAGGCTCAATCAACCGAGCCAGCAGCATTTTAATCTTTTGTCGTGTTGAGCTTTCTTTAGGTATTCTGTTTTTCTCTGCTAATAACAGATATTTTAAATAGCATTATCAGCAATTCTAGAATAATTCTAGAAAACATTTGTATATAGATATGTTCCTTTTAAAATAAATCATCATTATCATGACAACATTCTTCAATGATAAATTCGTTTGATGGCGAAAAAAAAATGAATGACATTATAAAAAAAAACTCTTGTTTCGTAATTCGGTTAATCACATTTTCTGATGCATGTTTTGGATTATCTTAACTCCTGGTAGAACGTGCACGTGATGAATCTGTAACATGTTTGTTTTCATTGTTCACCATTGAGTGACAACACTATAACCATCTAATTTATTTTTAGAAAAAAAAATAATAAAGGTTATATGGTTTGTTCACACATCACATGAAATAAATGGTTCTTCTCGTAGAGTGATAAAAGAATTGTGATAGCATAATTTATACCGTTATTATATGATGCAGATAATGTGTTTTCATTTCAATAACTAGTATTTGGGCTTTTATTATTCAAGATAAAATATTTTATCAAAAAGATATGCCATTGGCATAATAAATATCATTTACACCTAGATTTTACTCTTTTTTCCCTCTTTTCAGGCAGCTGGCCAGTATCTTATTGTAATGTCGATTTCAAAAATAGGTCAAAAAGAAAAGAAAAACCGACAAAACACCTCAAAACAAGAGTGAACAGCATAACACAGTACTATTGAGGAAAAATGTATTACCCTGAATTTTTTATTTGAAATATACATGTGTCTATATTAGTTTATATTTGAAAAAACATTTTAAACGTTAGGCTTCTCTTTTCCGCATAATTATATTAAATCAACTAAACATTATTTCTAACTTTTGAACATATGTGTTGTATGTGTATTATAGCAAATAATCAATGTAATATTTATCGCAGTGACGAGTTACAATCACTTTAAATGTCTTACATATATAATAATTTCATTTACAGACAAGATTCTATACTGAAGAGATAGTTATCATTAACATTATTGAAAATGGCCTAAATATTTCTCAACTGTTTACATCTTGTATTGACATATTTAATTATTAGTACTAATTTCTAAATTTTCATGATCTATCAGTTCAAATAATTGTATCTTATCGTGTCTGTTGTATCGTATCGTGTCTGTTGTATCGTATTGTACATTGTATTGTATTGTAAGTTAGAAGTAAAATTTATTACTAAATGCTGAAATAAATCATTGTTGCTGAAGAAATTTGGCATTGTGAATTAAATAAACGTTGTTTTTGTTGGGTGTGTTCTTTTGTAGTTTAAATAACAAATAAGATGAATTTCGCAACATTAAAGTAAGCATGTCAATATATTATAACATCAAGATGAATCTCCTTTCCTTTGGTAGATTCATTGCATAAATCATTTTCGGTTTTGCATCTCCTTTTTATATGGCCTTGAAATCAATGCTTTGTACAGTTTGTGCGCAATCAGAAAAAATGTGTTTCATTTTAAGTACGTGTCATTTGACCTTTTACAAAAACATGAAATACATTTGTTGAATTTCGCACAAAATAACAGGTTATGCAATTTTTGTAGCATTGAGATTTGTTTTTTTTTGTTTTCTTTTTTGTTTTTGTTTTTTTTTGGTTTTACGGCGCAGTAACACAGTTTAGGTCATATGACAATAAAACAGGAAAGGTGATTTTGTCTAACCTCGGATGTTACAAACTTAAAGCAACACCAGTGCTCAAAACCACCACACATGCTTAAGCTAAAAGATTCACAGACTCCGGTAATTCTCTTTAGTAGAATGATGTTTAAATTTACAGTATATAATCAGCGCTGAATTCGTACCCACATGATTGTTTGTATCGTTAGTGTATTAACTTTTCTCCGCCGTTATTTTTAAAGTTTGTCTGTTGTAAGGTTTCCTTAAATGTTTAGATAGTTGTCTCTAGTACGAAAGCGGGGTAGTTCTACTATGCAATACATTTGTACATCCTTTCTTAGCCAGAAACGCTTTTTTGGTCGGTGTTCAAGGGTACATTATCTTAGGTAGTTTCTATTTATTCTTTTGCGCTTATCCTAAATAGAGATTTATTAATTCTGTACATAGAACAAACAGGAAAAAATCATGACTGTTAAGAATGCATCAACTATTTTATATTATGTTTTCGGTCATTTCAATTATCATACAGCTATTGAGTCACAATGCTATGTGAAAAAGGAGACCCTTGGATAGCAATAATAACGGAGTAGAATAATTTCTAACATCTTAGGTCCAATAGCATAGGCCATGGCAATAATTTTATCTGTTAAGAATATGTAACTCAAATTGAATCACCAAATTCACCAGTTCAGGTTTAAAAGGCATTTGTTTCACATAAAGAAGATCTGTTCATCAACATTAAACACATTTAGATAACATACGATTAGAACAGTCACGTTTTTCCAAGAATTAGTGGGTTTACTTTGATTCAATCAAAATGAATTAAACAGTTTTTGGAGTGCGACCGAAACTATTCACTCTGAACTCTTTTTAATTATAACTTTATTTCCGCCTCCGTCGATATTAGCTTTATTGAATTATATATAGTACTCTTCTACAGTTGTAATGAATTCTTTAGGATTGTTTCATATCCTGTCAATCTTTTATTTGAAATTCTTATTTTAGTCATTTATCCGACCATTACTTCATATGTCCTTTTAGGTATTTATTCATAAACTTTCAAAGGTGTGTAGTGTGCTTACAGCAAAAGTTCATTGCGACAGAAAACTCAAAACACCCTATTCCTCTGATTTCCAGTACAGGTTGGTTCTAGTAAGAAACCATATGGATAATGGCATTATATTTTTACAAGGTGAAGGGTAGAGATGGGGAAATTTCATCCATTGCGTTTAGAAGCAAATGGTTCAGAAGCAAATGGTTCGGACTTACCAACTATAATCATTCAGTTAGTTTCACTATATAAAGGGTTGACTGGAATCAATATTCATTGCCTGGGTTAAAAAGAACAAAGAACAAACTCCATGTAAGCTAAACGTATATAGATTTAAGAAATAAATTCCTTAACAATTCCTCTAAATGTTAGTGTATAAATATATAAAACGAAACCAGAAAACATCTACTTGTAAAAAGTGTGTCAGCAACCTAAATAAATACATGTAGAGAGTTTGCACAGAATGGAACACCGGACTGCAAATGCGCATTATAAAATCACATCTAAAAAGCATTTGTCTTTCTTTATTCCAAATTACTTTTGAAATAATTTATGTAAATTTTCATGAAGATATAATATGTCTGACAAATTATAAGTAAAGTTGAAGATTGATATAAAAAATGTTGATAAAATTTCCTCTGATGTTTAAAACAAGATTTGCAATATAATATGTTAATAGTTGACAATAAAACTACATCAGACGGTGAACTTGATAAAAATTATACATGTATATATACTTATATAACAAAACTATTAATAGAAAAATAGATATTGTAGAAAGATAAGTACACTTAACTTAAATATATGTTTGAATAATTAAATGCTATAATCTGGTGGATTTTACTTAAATATTTCATTTATATAAGAAAAATAGAAAAATGTATAACATAATATCATTGGTCCGAGTATTTTCTTATCTTATCTGCCTTTAATGTCATTATGAAGTAAAATAGATGCTGAACAATTGTCGATAAACAACACAATTCCTGAGTATATGGATTTAAAAAATAAACAATACAACATTTTAAGAACATTGACAGCAAAAGGGAATTAAAATGAAGTGTATTCTCGTTTCTAAATAAACAAAATCAAAACATGTATTGGAATCACCAAAATAAAATCATTTTGATTTTAGAACACTGTTAAGTTTCAAGGTATATACAAAATATAAATTAAAAAGATTTACTTGAGCACAAATCAAAAAGGTGAAATTTTACAATAAAAATTGTCATGGTTCTTATATAAGCATGTATATAAAGATATGATATAAAATGCATTATGGTTATGTTATGCTATGGATAGTCAAATATGGCACTTCTTGGATCTCTTTGGCCTGAGCACATTAAATTATCCCTTTTTTAAAAATCCTGTCAAATGTGAGATTCTCAAATATCCATATGTACAGTGATATTGGTTCCCAAACATGTGAAACATTTATATCAAACAGTGCATAAAAGATAGACTTTTCCAAAACCTTTTTTTCTCAGAAAGAAATTGCGGCAATGACTATCAGAAAAACTTTGATGTGTACAATGCAGTAAATCCTGTAAACTGTTTGTGATCAAGCATTTTGGCACAAAGGTGCATTAGAAATTCAATATGTAAAACATCATGTATACATAAACAAGAAAAAAGGAAAAATACACCACAAGAAAATATCACAGACTAAGTAGTACACAAGTTGAGAGTTTGTTGAGTTTAGTTTTAAAGAATCTATAAATAATAAACATATAAAAATATACTGAAATATATCAAACATTAAAACATGGATTGTTAACAATAAATTATAATCATAAAATAAATAATCTTTAGGAAAAGAATTACCCTATAACAAACAAATATGAACTAGACTATTTATTTTACCTAGATAAAATGGAATCAATAATAATAATAATATCTAAAACTGGTTTTAGTATATCCAAGTTTAATTCAAAAGTTAATGATTGCTAAATGCCATGATTTTCACTTTGATCAGTTGAGCAATCGTGTTTGTGTTCTTCAGAAGTACCATCCCTGAAATAAAGAAAAATAGCAATTTAAGATGAGTTACTAGCTAATTCCAAAAATAATGAAAATAATGACTCTTTCTTCATAAACATATGTCTTTCCTTGCAATGTGGAAGGGCAATTAAAATATTCATCATCAGTAAATTCCAAATGCAGTTTGTTCAATAATTCTATAAGTAATTCAGATGAAAAAACAACAAAAAAGAAACATTGGCTCCATTATAATAATACCTTATATGTTAATGTAATAGAGTTTCACACCAGCAGGAAATGTTGTCAAGATTAAAGTAAAATAAATCATATTGTGCAAACTTATTCTGAAAGTTGTGCAACCTAAATTAACATTTTACAACAACCTTACTTAATCTCCTTCTTTATCTTTTTTCCTACCCTTTATTTCAATTAACTAATCCAATAACAGCAGTACTCACTGTTATCTCAACGTGACTTGATATTATACTGTTGCATTAAAAAACATTCTTCCTGGTAAATCATTTTTAAACAGAAATAATACATTTAGTCTCAATAAATACTGTGTTTAAGCTATTAAAATGTTAAGAAAAATCATCAAATGATAACAGGCCTTTGAATTAATTAGAATAACTAATTACATGTTACACATGGATTCAAAAAGAAAAAAAAAGAAAAAGAAAAACAGAATACCTCCTAGACAATATTTAACATGTTTAATATCTAATGAGTAATGTAATGCTTCAAGGTTAATATCTGGCTAGATCCAGAATATCAGCAGTAATACCTTGTTTTCATTTCTATATCAGGCCAATTTCTTTAATTTTAAGGAATACATTATCATTTCAATATAAACCTATGTATAATCAATATAAAAACAATACAACATTTATAACTAAGTTCAATACAAGCTGCAATCATGCTGTGTGTGTTGTTTTTTTTTAATTCTTTCATTTCTCAGTTACCTTTCCAGTTCCACTTTTTGTCACTAAACAAATGCATACCAATTGTAATTTGAGTTTGAGACAGAGGATAAACGTAACCTCATAAAAATTTCAATTGTTAAGTCAGTGTATCATTCAGTAAAGAGTGACACGTTGACTGTAACTTTAAACTACTTTAAAAGAAATTTACACCTGACAGACACCACATAAATTATTCATCACTTTGTATTAGGGGTTTATACTTTCCAACCTGAATGACATTCTATTGTTGTTACCTTTTTTAACTGAATCAATATTAAGTCATTTTTCAAGAATATTGACAAAACAATAAAACCAAATTAATTGCTTGTAATTAACAAAACATAATCATCTAAGAACCATTATTAAAACATTCACCAGTGAAACCACTTTTACTCTTGGCAAATTATAACACATCCTCCTCAAGCTTCTCAATGATCAAGTTATAAATCTTTTGCACACATAATTCATTGCATGTTTATATGCAGGTTTTTCTTTTAAATGAAAGAAATAAAAAAACAGCTGTTATAGAAAATGTATTTTCATTAATGTCAATATAGTAAAATAAAAAGACATTAAGATAGATATCTCAGGAAAAACATCTCTACAAATCATACATACTTTTCACATAAGATATAAAAAAATGCTTTTCATTTGTTTGGTTCTGATTTGGTTCTGATTTTTATGCCCTTGTTATGTAAGTGGTACTTGCAAAACCTAATAAAAAGTAACTTTATTTTGACAGGAAGTCATATTTCAGTACAGAAAAAAATGTAAATGTTGTAATAAAATGAGTCATTGGTTGTTGTTGGCATTACATAGAGGTAATTAACAGTTGTAATGTCAGTCTGGTATTAAACATAGGATGGTGTACTGCCTGTACCAGACTTTATTCCCATTACTACAGTGTTAATTCCTTCATCATAGTTTCTATTTTTTAGACATAAAATACAGAACTATGGCTGCTTTTCACATAAGAAATTTTTTGTCAATTATGTAAAACAATCCAGACATATTTTTTCATATAAATATCCTTGAACATATTTTATCTATAAAACTGGCACTTCTATTAGTTTCTATCAAATATTGTTACACTCCTATATCAAAAACAACTTGAAATAACAATTTAATTTATCATATCCACAAAAAAAATAAACTATTGTTTTACAAGAGAGTTTTACAGTATAAAACTTTCATTTTCAATTTCTAAAAAAGAAGCAACATTGTATCATTTTTAGTTTCTTTTAAAACAATAAAAAATGCCATTTAAACTGCATATAGTGTAACTCTTAAAAAGTATTTGGTAAGTCATACAGATTTATCTCCCTTTTTCATATTATCTTGTTGGTAAAACCTTGTTAATTATGCCCCCTTCGAAGAAGAGGGGGGGGGGGGATATTGTTTTCCTAATGTCGGTAGGTCAGTAGGTAGGTCGGTCGGTCGGTCGGTCAGTCTGTCCGTCGGTAGACCACATGGTTTTCGCTGATTATCTTAAAAATTATTTATCACAAAGTCTTAATATTTCACATACTGATTGATCATATCTAGTAGATGACCCCTATTGATTTTGGAGTCACTAGGTTAAAGGTCAAGGTCACAGGGGCCTTAAATGTTAAAATGGTGTCCGTTGATTATCTTGAAAACTATTTATCATAAAGTCTTTATATTTTACATAATAATTGGTCATAACTAGTAAATAGCCCCTATTGATTTTGGGGTCCCTAGGTCAAAGTTCAAGGTCACAGGAGCATTTGATTATAAAATGGTTTCCGCTGATTATGTTGAAAATTATTCGTGATAATGTCAACATATTTCACATAGTGATTGGACAAGTAGATAAGTCCTATTGATTTTGGGAGTACTTGGTCAAAAGTCAATGTCACAGGAGCCTTAAATGTCAAAATGGTTTCCGCTCATTATTTTGGTTACTTTTTATCGCAATCTCTTCATATTTCGCATACTGACTGGTCATAACTAGTAGATGAGCTCTATTGATTTTGGGGTCACTAGGTCAAAGGGTCAAGGTCACAAGGACCTTAAATATTAGATTGGTTTCCTCTCATTATAGTGAATACTTTTATCACAAAGTCTTCATATTTCACATATTAATTGGTCATAAGTAGTAGATGACACCTATTGACTTTGATGTCACTAGGTCAAAGTTCAAAGTCACAGGAGCCTTTAATGTTAAATGGTTCCGCTGATTATATTGGAAAGTATTCATCATAATGTCAACATACTTCACACAGTGATTGGACAAGTAGTTAAGTCCTATTGATTTTGGGAGTACTGGGTCAAAGGTCAATGTCACAGGAGCCTTAAATGTCAAAATGGTTTCCGCTCATTATCTTGGTTACTTTTATCGCAATCTCTTCATTTCTCGCACACTGATTGTTCATAACTAGTAGATGAGCCCTATTGCTTTTGTGGTCACTAGGTCAAAGGTCAAGGTCACAAGGGCCTTAAATATTAGATTGGTTTCCGCTCATTATATTGATTACTTTTTATCACAAAGTCTTCACATTTTACATATTAATTGGTCATAACTAGTAAATGACCCTATTGATTTTGGGGTCACTAGGTCAAAGATCAAGGTCACAGGGGCCTTAAATAGTAGTAAGGTTTCGGCTCATTTTCTTGAAAGCTAGTGATCACAAAGTTTTCATAGTTCACATAGTAACTGGTCATAACTAGTAGATAACCCCTATTGATTTTGAGGTCATTGGTTCAAAGGTCAAGTTCACAGGGGCCTTAAATGTTAGAATAGTTTCAGCTTAATATTACCTTGAAAACTATTTATCACAAAGTCTTCATTTTTACCAAACTGATTGGTCATTACTAGTAGATGACTCTTATTGATTTTGGGTCACGAGGTCAAAGGTCAAGGTCACAGGTGTCTTGAATATAAGCCTGGTTTCGGCTCATTATCTTGAAAACTATTTTTCACAAAGTCAACATAGATCAAATAGTACACGGTCTTAACTAGTAGATGACCCCTATTGACTTTGGGGTCACTAGTTCAAAGATCAAGGTCATCGGGATCTTTAATGTCAGAATGGTTTCGCTTATTATCTTGAAAACTATCTATCACAAAGTCTTCATATTTCACATACTGATTGGTCATAACTATTAGATGACCCCTATTGATTTTTGGATAACTAGGTTAAAGGTCAAGGTCACAGGTGTCTTTAATGTCAGAATGGTTTCCGCTTAATATCTTGAAAACAATTTATCACAAAGTCTTCATATTTAACATTTTTGTTAGTCATAATAGGGGCACTAGTCCAAAGGTCAAGCTCTTTATATTTCACATATTCATTGGTTATAACTAGTAATTCATTATTTTTTATTTTTTCCATAACCGAATACTTCCATGTACCGATTTATGGCGAGTTTCTATATCAAAATTACCAATAAGGTGAGTCATAGGCTAGAAAGGGGGGGGGCATATGTGTCGTTCGATATTTCTTGTTATAAATACTTTTACATGCAATTATTTAGTTTCTTTATATTATGTTATGAAAAAAGAATAACTCATCAAACACTTATCACCTCAATGCATCAGCAATATTGCAGTGTCCATATAAGACGAAAGTATCCAACACGTCGGTATCGATCTAAGTTGGTCACATGATAGGTAACATGTAGTTGCACATTGATGTCGGTATAGAAATGCTGTTGTCGTAATTTATATGAAAATAAACTAATTGTACAAGAATTCAGAAATATTCAGATCGCCCTAAACATCATTTCGAAATTAGTCAGAGCTTCAGAACGTGCAGCCAACATCTGGCGTATTCTTTGTGCAACTTAATTTCCACACTTAAAACATGCTAACTTTTTCCGCTTGGAAAACAAATTAGTACTAAGGAATATCATAAACAGAGGTGTAAAGTTATTTAACATCTCTATAACTTTGAGAAGAGTTTTTTCTTCCTTCAATTCATATGTTTGGTGTTTTATCTATTATTTAGTTACATTTACCTATTCTAGACACATTTAGTACAATGGCAGCTAAAGAATATTGCTATGAGCACGCACTATTTTCACATTGAAACGTTAGGAATATAATTG